TATACTGGGAATATATTATATTTTTATCAATCCAAAGATCTTACTTAAACTAAATTAATTGTATTAATGTTTACATTGAAGTATAGTGAACACAAATATGTGAACCAATAATCTCTCAATATTTTTCATAACGACTAAAAGTATAGTATAATTAGTTTATTGTTATCTCAGATAGATTGACAAACAATCCTGAACCTGTGCTAGTTATTAATAGTAAAAAACAAGTCTAAAATTACTTGTAATAATAAATTATGATTAGTAATATTAATTTTATATAGATATTTAATTTGATTTAAACATTATCTAATTGACCCAAGTTTGTCATTTAAAAAATATATAATTTATTATACAGTATTAATATGATTAAAAATGAGATTATAAGTACAATTACTGATATTTAAATTTTACAATCAATTATAGTTTTAATTGTGAATTTGTTTAAACTATAAATACATGTCCATCAGAATAAATTGAATTATTTGTTTATTTATTTGACTCAGTTGTTTTATAAATCAGAAATTATTTAAAAATAAATTATAAAATGTTAGCCATTTATTTGTTAGCATTGATTGCATTCTCCAATGCTTTCCAATTGAATGAAACCAAAGACATCTATCAAGAGGTGAGGGATTCACGCAATTTTACGGGTAAAGTAGCCTTGGTCACCGGATCCAACTCAGGCATTGGCGAGCAAATCGTCAAACTATTCTCTGCATTGGGAGCCAGTGTTGTGGTCACCGGTAGGAATGCATCTGAGATCAAGAGAGTGGCTCAAGAAGTGCAACAATTATCACCACAAAAACTAAAAGCAAGCTGATAATCATTATTTTAATGAATCAATTTATAATGTCATTGTGTATAAAGGCATTGGAAGTGGTGGCAGACATCACCAAAAGTGATCAATTGGAGCACCTGTTGAATGAGACAATCGATACGTTTAAAAGGTTGGATATACTGGTGAACGACGCCGACATCTTCATGTTCGCCAACTTCACGGACACTAAGTTCTGGAACACATTCGACGCCTTCGAGAGTGTAGGCGTCCGGTCGCCCCTACAGCTTATACGACTGGCCGCTCCCCATCTCATTAAGTCTAAGGGCACTATCATTAATATATCCAGTGTTTTAACACAGACTCCGG